GCGTGTAGCTTCGACCCCCTCCGCCCCCTGCCACCCGGCCTGGCCTTCCTTTTCCCGCAGGCTGCGTCCGCCTGCACGCGTTTGCGCCCCCACAAACCGACGCGCCCCAAGACTCCCGCGCAACAATGACCCTCGTCGCAAATACGGCCCCAGCAAATTTCCCCCATGAACGGACACCCCAGCGCACCACCACGACCCTCGTCCCTAATACGCCCCCGCGAACCGACGTGCCCTCCTCGGTCCCTTGCAACACCCCGCGGGGAACTCCCGCTCAATTTTTCCTGGGCCCGCTGGGAGCGTCACGCTCGCACCGCTTCTTCCTTTAAGTTATAATAAAAGAAAACTCAGTACTGCACACATTGTATACGAGAAAAAAGGAACATTAATACTGATGAAAACTACAGATTGTGTGAGCAATGGAAACATCTGTTGAGGAAGGATGAGTTGGCACAAGGAGAATGGGTGCCAATTAAAGGAGTCACCAGGCCAGACACGGTCTATCGAGTGGAACAGCCCCTCCAGGAAGAGCGGTTGGAAGTCGCCGCGTGGTACGGTGAATCTGAATCGGGATACGAGGGGATGGGCGAACCCCTGAGGACGTCCCCGGCCGCCCAAAAGACGACTGAGAAGCGGTGTGGAGACTGTAGTGGTATATGCGAGAGGGACCAGGGAACAAGGCCAATTCTGCCCATATGCAGTGGCGCACCGGTGCCGTGACTTAAGTTGGGACCCCCGGGACTGGGAATGGCCGCCTCAGAGGATGCATAAGAGAACGACCCTGCTGCAGCAGCTGACAAACAAGAACATCTATAACTCCCTGCTAGAGCCACGCGACATCTGTGGGGAACTCGAGAGTCGCTGGGCCAAGAGAGACTGGCTCCCAGACGTTTATTATAAAAAATGGACTCAGCGTAAGTGGAACGTGCAATGTGCTCTTATGGCGGCGCTGCCGGATCAGAAACAGGCTGGCTTGCTATGGCAGCTCTATCATCTGGCCATCCCAACGGCACAATGGCTGGCGCTCAGAAGCTGTCATATGGAGCAACAGTGCGTGGCAGGATGCGGAGAGGTGGAGACCATACACCACCTGTTTGTGCAATGTCCGGGAGTCCGAGCCTTCTGGACGTGGTGGGCGCAAATAGCTGAGCACACCCCCTTGGAAGTAACAGAAACGGACGAGGCGCTCATTCTCCTGGGAACCCTGATGAGGGCCAATAGACTGCAACCCGAGAATCAGCTGGCAATGGAAACTGTGAGAGCAGCACTAATATGGACCATCTGGACCCTGAGAAATGAGCGATGCAGACAGGGCATGACCCCCACCCTACAGGCATTCCAGGGACAAGCGATGGAAAATATTTGAGTGGCCATTCAAGCAGACTTCCGCCGGTGTGACCGAGCAGGAGAAGGAAAGGACCTCTTTTGGAGGAGATGGACCCCCTACCCACAGCTGCTGGTGCCGGACCGCCAGTCGGGCCGTGTCTTGTTTGGGCCTCTGTTGCTGCGATGAACATGTCAAGCGGAGACCGATGTGTAACATAGAGGTTTGGGACTCAATGGGAATGGATGAGGATAGGATAGAACAAGTTGTAGTTCAGGCATACAAAGAGAGGGATGAGGTTAGGATAGGAAAAAGTAGGGGAAGGTATATAAGTACGTGAGGGGAGGGGTAGGGTGGGGAACTATACACAGACTGTAAGGAACTAGGGGAGCTTGTGAGTATCAGGAGCATGTAACGCGAGGCCAAGCATGAGGCATACGGCAAACTGCGGTAAGTAGCAACAAGAAAGGCAGCAGGCAAAGTATCTGCATGTTAAGCGAACTGTAAAGGGCCACTGAGATACTACTGCTGAGTAGAAGGTAGGGATGATGATAGAGGAATGGATACTCGGCTAGAGCTTGGACACTGGCCGGCCGGTGAGGCTGCCAGGCGGCTCTCCCCCGCGCCCCGCCATTTACAGGATTCACATGCAGCGTGTCTGGGTGCTGCCAGTACGCTTCCTGGCCAGCAAGTGCACCCTGCAAATGAGTCATGGTTTGGGGGGAGAACGGCCGAAGCAACCCCCGACTTGTGTAAGCGACTAGAGCTGCGAGGGTGGCTGTATCTGAATCTTGTCCGATCTACTCTTTCTTTCCTTTTCCAGCTGTATCCCATGCACATTTGGCTTGCCGGTGATGAGCAACCGGACTGATGCCCCCCAGAATAGATGGGGCATTGTTGTTTGAAAAAAAAACAAAAAAAAAAACACTACAGATTGCTCCTGGTTTTGGCTATTGCTCACCAGTGGCCTTGATGGAGTCCCAGGCCCAGTGACACCTGGTGTTGTCTGCAAAAGGAAACATAAAACGATTAGTACTATTTTAGCAGGAGAAAACTCGACATGTCCCAGTACACATCCAAATTTCCAAAGTCTCTAGCTCAATATTTTCACACACGGGACAGCATTTGAAATTTAGAAGATCACACAGGGGGAACGGAGTTTTAGCACTGTTCTTTCCTCTAACAATAACATTGTGCAACCAGGTTTTTTTTTTTTTTTTTTTTTTTCCCCTCTGAAAACCTCACGTTTGATTTTTAAAACTGGAAACCGGGTCCAGCTTCCCCAGCATCGCTTACATCAGAAAAACACACCCGGCGACTCCCTTCATTATGGTCAAGTGAGCTAGAGGAAGCAACATTGATTCCTTCCTTTCTCCGGAAGGATATACTACGTCTCCACCCCTGCTTCTATAACCTTTCAAGATCCAAAGTTTTAGGACTAATATCAGCTGTGCTATGCTTTGACACTAACCTGAAAACCAGTCAGAGTAATCCTATCTCGGTCCATTCCTGGGAACTGTCAGGATTACCATTGGTACCCAGTATATACAGCTCTCAGTTCTTGCTTGCCTCGCCCTGAAAACATGCTGTATTTAGTTTCTCCTCTGTTTATTCCCCCTGTTCCCGTAAAGGAGGGTTCAGTGTCAGCTTGCCACCTTTCACAGGCTTTCAGCAGCCTCTCAGGCGTGACTTAGACCTAGGCTGTCAAATTCTGCTGTCGTAACCAGCAATGACACTTGTTCTCACGTTGGGTCCCAGTTTTTCCACAGTGGCCTGTTGTCCTCGGCTCTAGCCACCCTCCCACTTAATAGCCAGTCTCTGATAAAGATCCTCTTTCTGAAGTCCACCTTCACAGCTCCAGGGTGTCCTGTACTGTTGGTTTTCTGCCATCTGCACCTTATCTATGTCTCCACCGTTTGGATGTCAGAGGCCTTATCTCTGTTTCCACAGTTTGGATGACAGAGGCCCAGAATCGCCTTCCATGGTCATAGAACACCTCCGCTTCCAGACTGTCCAGAGAGACAGCTTCCTTAGTATTAGAAATCATGACCGTGCTGGGCCCTTTTGGCAGGACAGGAGTTTGGATAGCCACGAGGGTGGTTAGCAGAGATTGGGGGGGGGTGAAGGGGGGGAAGAGGGGAGAATGGTGAAGAGGGGGAACCACAGCTTTGTTACTCTGGCCGGGCATTTTATCAGGCACTGCACTATATCGTCATCCATGTTGTTAGGGCACAATTTGCACAAGGAAGGACTGTTGGGGTTCTAAGATTTTTGGAACTCCTTTGGGCTGCGCACACTATCAGCCACTGCAGGCTACAAACCTTTAGTACATCCAAGGAATTTTGGTTGTTCTGTTGGGATCCAACTGCAATATTTTCGTCCATCTCTCTTGTGTGACTGGGGTTGGGTCCTTGGTTTTTAAGCCCAAGTATAGCCGAGCAATCTGATAGTGGGATGACAGATTTTTGCTCATCCTGCACCCAGTACCACTCCTTCGGGTCATATTTCAAGTTTGCTGGTTGCCTTGAAAGATTGGTGGATGCCTCAATTTTAATTGCCCCTAACTTTTCTCAGAGTGAAAACCTCCATGGTACATCTCTTGAGGCCCGTCCTCAGAACTTCACAGTTGTTACGGACCGGCCAGGGCTCGATCCCTGGTCCGCAGGTTACCACCCGCCAGGCTGCTATTCTACTTTTTTGGAATCTCTGATCTCCGGTTCCTGACTGTTGGCGCCCTCTGCAGTTGGCGCCCGTTCTCAAATCCCGCCTCTGGCACTTTCGGATTTCGATACTTGCGTCATGCAGCATTCTGGCGCCCAGGCTCAGACCTTCAATTTTCAGTTCAGCCCCGAGGCAAATTGAACTTCTGCCCTCGGACTCAACTTGAGTACGGTACTTAAGACCGGACTCAAGCTGAGTTCAGGGCATTCAGTTTTCGGCCTCAGTGCTTGGGCTTCAGTGTGACTTGCTGCGACATTGTGTATGGAACCAATTTTGCGATTTTGCGACTTTGCGACTTTGCCACTTTGTGTCTGTGTCCGTCGAGTTGTGTCGAGTCCATGTCGAGTCGAGTGAGTGTGTGTGTGTGCTCTCACTCCCTCCCTCTCTCTTCCCCAACTTTGCTGCTCTACCTCCACCTCGTCACACTGGTATCGGAGCGGCTTCAGCCCTCCCTCCCGCCCTGTCCTATCTTCATCGCTGCCAACCTCGTCGCCGTCGTTGCCATGTCATCATCGTCGCCGTCGACCCCGTCGCCGCCGTTGCCACGTCATTGACATCATCGTTACCTCGTTACCTCGTCACCGTCGTCGTCGCCATCTCATCGCCATCGTCGTCTCCGTTGTCGCTGCCACGTCATCGTCAGCATTGCCTCATACCCGGTGCCACATCATCATCACCATCGCCGCTGCCATCGCTGACGTGCAGGTAAGTTACCAGCAAATTTCTCCTCCACATTTCTTCTTCTTCTTCTTCTTCTTCTTCTTCTTCCTCGTCGTTGTCGTCGTTTCTCTTTCCTCTTCTTCTTCTTTCCTCCTCTTCTCCTTCGCCCCCCGATCCTCTCTTCCCCCCGCTGCCTACCCAGTCCCATTTCCCGCCCTACCGTGACTTCACGATCCCTCCGCCCTTCCCGACCCTGATTCCCACACGATTTCACACACACTTCCCGTGCGATTCCCCGATCCCAACTCCCCCGACTCCCCTGACTCCCCTCCGATCCCCATTCCTCGCCCTTACCCCGACACCAAACGGGATCCCCTTCCCCCGACATTCCCCCCCGCTGCGCGCTAGCCCCC